ATGGTCTCGATCTCTTGACCTCGTGATCCACCCGCCTCGGCCTCCCACAGTGCTGGGATTACAGGCTTGAGCCACCGCGACCGGCAAGGGAATTTTTATACACAATTGCTGCAATAAATTACCGTGTTGGGGAAAAACAAAAAAGGAAATTAAACCAAATCAAGGAAATCAAAATGGGAGTTAGAATTCTAGTTAATTATATAATTGAAGACATAGATTTGATAAATGTTCTATAAGAAATAGTGACAGGATTTGTCAACCACTAGCGTGGCAAGAGGAAAAGCTGGAAAATAAGCATGATGGAAAAGATAAATTATTTAGCTAGTTGGAGTCCCACCCCACTCCTTGTTTTGTTTTGTTTTGTTTTGTTTTGTTTAAAGGATCTGAAATCAAGTGGCACTTTGGAGTTAACTACGGGTCTTTCTCATCATTCTCATCTCATGCTGAGGAGCTTCTGGCCTATTAAAAGCAAGTGTGACCATCAAGTATCCCGTTGACTATTTTCAGTTACCATACCAGAAATTTCATATTGTAATGAAGATTATTCTTTAAGCACTTTTCTTAGAATATGCTGAATTCATTTCACTGATTTCCATTGCTCAAAATATATGGAATGCCTCACACATTTGTATATCCGTGGAGCATAACTTCGTTTTACTCTATGTGTATAACTATTGTTAGTGAATGTTTAGGTCAGTTTCATAACTTTGGATGCCTAATTTCTTATGCATTATCGCATTCTCTGGACACCATCTCTAATTTCATACATCTTTGGTTTAAAAATAGTGGTGATGGTGACGGTGTTTTCTTTTGCAGATGAGAACTTCACCAGGGCTCTATCATCTTCTTTGGGACCTACTACCACCAAGTATGGCAGATCCACTGTAGCCTCCATGAGGCTAGGTCCCATGAAAGTTTTGACCAGAAGGAGCCACCACCATACTCTTAAAACACATCCAGAAATGCACCTTTTATTTTCAATGCTTGTATTCTTGTTTTCAGGATTTTCATGTATCTAAATATTTCTGTTCATAAATTCTTCAAAATTATCTAGTACCGCAAGTAAACAATTAGCAATAACTAGCAGGGGCTTGTAAGTACCTTTTGATGTTGTTCATGCTTCATCCTTTGCAATTTTCTGTTTTCTTCCGCCCTTAGAGAATCTCTATAAGCCCAGCTTCTGTCCTGTAAAGGAACAGAGAGAAAAAAAAAAAAAGAAAAAAAACCCCAAAAACTTGATAGGATAAAGTATCACCACAGTATACCAAGCCGTCTACCATAGGCCTGGTGCTAATAACTTAACCTCTGTACTGAGCATATAGTAAGCTCTCCATACACACTTGGTTATTGAGTGATTTATGCATATATCTGAAGATGTCCCTTGGGATATATATATATAAAAAGAAAACTAGTGTAAGAACAATCACCCTGCACATTTGAAAGGATAATCTAAATGTTTAATTAAGCTTTAAAAATACCCCTCTGGGAGCATCACACACTGCAGTCAGCTGGGGGCGGCTAGGGGAGGGACAGCGGGGAGTAGGGAGGGTGGGGAGGGATAATGTGGGGAGAAATACCAGATATAGGTGATGGGGGGATGAAGGTGGTAAACTGCCTTGCCATGTATATACCTATGCAACCTTCCTGCATGATCCGTACATGTACCCCAGAACCTAAAGTACAATTAAAAAAAAAATCCCCTCAGAGATAATCAACAGTTTATTCCTTCTAGTGGGAAGTTTAGGACATTTTCAAGAATATTTCAACTAGCTGATCAGTTAGTATTAAAGACAAGCAATGGTGGCATTGTCTGTAGAAGCACTGGCATGGTTAGCCCATTAATTATATCTGATTAAGCAGCCTGTTAACTAGTGGTTGATACCATATAATTTCAAGAATGCATACTTTCTAAGTGCTTGCATCCCTAATCTGTATGAAGCTTATTTCTATTTCTGAAAAGGAAAACAAAGCCTGTTCAGGAACATATGACAACAAAGCCTTTGGAGAACCACCATGTGGGAGAATGCCCTTCAGTCTCTCTGACCCACCATACCAGAGTTCCATATCCTGGCATAGTGACCATGTGTTCTGAAATTTATGGCATTTCAAGTGTTCCATTTATTTGTCATATGCTTTCTCTGCTTCACATTGATTAGTAGCCCCAGCTTCTGTAAGGCAAAGAGCTAATACTTAGGAAATTAGAGCACCATCATGGCAGCAGGTTACGTATTTCAGACCTAGTTCTCAGGACTAATAATCCATAAAGTTCATATAAGCTGGTTCCCCCTTTTTCCAACCTACATGAACTTTTATACAATTTTTCTCTAGCTCTTCTTAGTTTATTCTCCCATTTCTGTCACTATAAAAACCCATATACCATCAAATAATAAGAACCACTTCCCTTGGCCGGGCGTGGTGGCTCATGCCTGTAATCCAAGCACTTTGGAGGCCAAGGTGGGTGGATCACCTGAGGTCGGTAGTTCAAGACCAGCCTGACCAACATGGTGAAACCTCATCTTTAAAAAAAATAAAAACAATAAAAATAAAAAGAACCACTTCCCAGAAAAACAGAGAAGGTTTCAAAATGGTATCATCTATGGCAGCGCCAATTGGAAAACTGGCACTTCATGTGTTCAGAAAGCTCTTGTTTATCCAAACCCTGCTGCATTGGGCAGGTAAGCATACATCCTATGACTTTCTCTTATCTGCACCCTAAACCCAAGGGGACAGTAATAAGACACAGAAGGGGAAGAGTGATTCTCTAACAACTTCTTTTTATATTAGAGAAGGTTTGTCTTTATCACAAATATTCCATATAAGACCTAGGGAGGAAGGGAGGGAGGAAGGAAGGAAGGGAAGGGGAAGAGAGGGAAGGAGAGGAGAGGGGAGGG